ATTTCGCAGGATGGCCCCAGAGCGTGCTGCCGCTGCCTTAGATTCTCGTGCGCGCCGATCGCGGCAATGCAGCTGATGATGACGTGCGGCCCCAGCTTCGAATGTCGCATCGCGCGGGAAAGCGCCTGATCGCGCTGCCGCAGCATGCCTTTCTCGCTGGCGCCGACGCGAGCAATGCAGGTGATGATGCTCGACTCCAGCTGCGGATAGCGCCGCTGCGCGCTGCCGCTGCGTGCCCTCCTCGCGCGCGCCGATCCTGGCAATGCAGCCGATTGCTCTCGGCTCCGTTTTCGGATCCCGTCCGTATCTCCCAGGGTAGCTCCTGGGCGTGCTGCCGCTGCGCCCCCTCCCCGCAGGCGCCGATCCCAGTCCTGCCGCTCATGGCGTTCGACTCCAGCTTCGGATCCCGCATCTTGCAGGAAAGCGCCTGAGCTTGCTGCCGCAGGATGCCCTTCTCGCAAGCGCGGGTCCCAGCGATGCAGTTGATGACGTCGGGCTCCAGTTTCGGATCCCGCATCTCGTGGGATAGCGCCAGGGCGCGCAGCCGCCGCGTGCCCTTCGCGCGCGCGCGCCGATCCCAGCAATGCAGCTGATGGCCTTTGGCTCCAGCTTCGGAGCCCGCGCGTCGTTGAATGCGTCGGGGCGTGCCGTCCACGGCCTCCCCTTCTGGCGAGCGCCGTTGCCAGCAATGCCGAGGATGGCGTTTGGCTTCAGCTTCGGATGGCGCATCTCGCAGGATAGCGCCAGAGCAACGCAGCTGACGTCATCGGCCTCCCTCGCCGCCGCTACCTCCTCCTGAGCCACCTCCTCCTCCTCTTCCTCCTCCTCTTGCTCGTCGGTCGCTTTTCCTCCTCTTTCTCCTCCTCCTCTTCCACCTCCTCCTCCTACTCGAACGGGGGTTTCCTGTTCTTTGCTGGGTGCAGGAACGGTTTTTGCGCCGCCAGTCTAGGTCGGCCCCTTCCGCGCCCGCCTTTTTCGCGCCTCATACAATCCGCCTCATTCCGCGTTCTGAAAATACGACGCTCCGTCCTGATCCTTCATTTCTATTGACTTGATAGCGGAGCTTCAGCTCCGTGATCCACTGCCGCCATGGCCCGCGTGGCTTTCTCCTCGCGCCATGCGTCGACCGCGAGGGCATTCCACCTTCGTCGCCTTATGCAATCTCATCAAGTTCAGCTTCTTCAAGGGCGCCGCCTCCCCCGCTTGCGGTGCTCAAGTACTTTGCCCAGTAGAATATTCAGATGATTCGCTCGAATTGCCAACGTGCAATGCGGGCCCCATAGGGATTGGGGGGATCGCATGAGATTTCTTCGCTCGCAATTCATGCAGTGACGAGGTCCCCGCTCAAGACATCCTCACGATTTGCCCACTTGGGGTGCTCAAGTGTTACGCGTCGAAAAATATTCCTATGGCCCGAAATATTGACCCCATAGGGAGAGGGGGTTCCCACCCGAAAGTTCCCCGCAATGCAGTCGCAGACAAGCCCCGTTCGAGACATCTTCACACTTTGCCGCCTTTGGGTGCTCGAGTGTTATGCCTGGTTAAGTACTCAGACGACCCGCTCGAAACGTCAACGTGAAATGCGGGCCCCATAGTGTGGGGGGGTCTCCCGCATGAGGATTCTTCGCACTGCGCTCACAGATGAGACTCCCGCTCGAAACGCCTCCTCGGGGTGCTCGAGTGCTTCGACTGGTAGAATATATCCTGGTGACCCGTGCGAATTGCCACCGTTCATCGCTGGCCCCACATGGAGGGGGCTTCCGCCTGATATTTCTTCGCGTTCCATTCACAAGCGAGGCCCCTTTCCGAGACATCCTCACGATTTGTCCCCTTTGGGTGCTCAAGTGTTGTGCATGTTGGGGTATCCCGATGACCAGGCCGAATTGCTAACATGTTCTGCGTGCTCCATGAGGAAGGGGCTCCCGCGCGAGATTTCTTCTCGCGCAATTTCCACCCACGCAGCCCCCGATCGAGAGCTCCTTACGGCATGCCTCCTTGGGACTCACATGTTTTGCCTGGTCGAGTATCCCGATGACCCGTTCGAGCTGCCAACATAAAATGCGGCCCCATAGGCAGGGGGCCCCACCCGATAATTCTTCGCAGTCCAATCACAAACGAGGCCCCCGTTCGAGACATCCTCGCGATTTGCCCCCTGTGTGCTCGAATGTTTTGTCTGGTATAATGGATTCCGATGGCCCGTTCTCATGGCCGACATCAGATGCGTGGTAGGAAGGGGATCTCGCCTGAAACTTCTTCGGAATTCACTCACAGACGGGGCTCCCGCTCGAGGACATCCTCACGACCTGCCCCCTCGGGGTGTTCACGTGCCGCGCATGTTAGAATATTCCGATTGCCCGCTCGAGCTGCCAGCATGAAATGCGAGCCCATATGCAGGGGGTTCCCGCCTGAATCATCTTTGCAGTCCACTGACAGACGAGGCCCTCGATCGAGACATCCTCACGATTTGCCCCTGTATGCTCAAGTGTTTTGCCTGGTGAAGTATTCCGATGACTCGTTCTAATGGCCGACATCAAGTGCGTGGTGGGACGGGGCTCGCGCCTGACATGTTTTCGCCATTCAGTCACAGACGAGGCTCCCGTTCGAGGACATCCTCGCGCTTTGTTCTCACGCTTTGTCCCCTTGGGGTGTACAAGTGCCATGCATGTTAGAGTATTCCGATTGCCCGCTCGAACTGCCACCATGAAATGGGAGCCCGTATGCAGGGGTCTCCCGCCTGAATCATCTTTGCAAATCACTCACAGACGAGGCCCTCGATCGAGACATCCTCACGATTTGCCCTTGGGGTGGTCAAGTCCTATGCCTGGTGGAGCATTCCGACGACCCGCGCGAATTACCAAAACGATTGGCGGGCCCCAGAAGGAGGAGGCTCTCGCCTGAGACTTCCTCGCAAGTCACTCATAGACGAGGCTCCCGCTCGAGTGTTGATCAAAATGAGTGTGTGAGTGTTTGAATGAATGAGTGCTGGTGGTGCTGCTGCTGATGATGCTGATGATGATGATGATGATGATGATGGTAGTGATAATGATGCCAGTGCGTGAGTGATGATTATGTTGATGGTGATAGTAAGTGTGAGAACATGAAGTGGTGATGGCGATGGTGATGATGTGAAAATGACGATACTGATGCTGATGCTGCTGCTGATGATGGTGACGGCGATGTCGGTGATGGTGATGCTGATTGTGTTGATGATGGCGATGGTGTTGGTGATGCTGATGATGCTGATGATGATCATCATGATGATGCTGATGATGATGGTGATGCTGATGCGGACGATGATGAGATATATCATGATGATCATGATGCTGATTACGATGACGATGACGATGCTGATGATGATGATGATGATGATGATGATGATGATGTTGTCGGTGATGGTCACGATGACAATGATGATGCCAGTACGAATATTCTGAGAGATTTGAAAACTCGTTTGGAGAACTGGTATTTTTCGCACCTGTAATGGGTTATGCCGCGTCTGCCAGTGAAATTTTCAGGTGCCTAGCTGCAGTATTACCATCAAAACACTTGAAGGAACCGACTTGGATCAACACTGAAAAAAGTGTTCTTTCGAGTTTTTAAGACTCCGCTTAAGGAAGCTTCTTCCATGTGTTCTGAGCAGCGCCGCGCGAGGAAAGAGCTCTACGAGGCTCCCGGCGGTAACCTGGTTGACGGTTTACTGCCGGCTCTCATAATTCCGGCGCGCTGGGGGGCTAGCTGGCAAAAAAATCTCGACGGAAGTTTTGGGTACCTTTGCTCGGTTGGAATTCGATTTCTCGAAATTCAACAATTCGTTTGAGCTCTAGTATTCTTTCCCGCCATATTCGATCTCATTCCCGCCCGCCATCTTAATCTCAGCTTGATCGGGTACCTATTACTGCCAGAAAGCATCCAGACGGGATCGGCTGTTCGGGTTATCTTGAGAGATGCTATCGGTTTTCTGTACTTAACTCGAGCTGTAGGAGCGCTACAGAGCTGGTATGCACACCTAATCGATTCAGAATCATCAAGCGCGTTCGTCTCTAGCATCTAGTGGTCTGAACTCGGTCTCCTACCAGAGCTAGGTCCGCGCAACTATTTGTACTCCATCGATTTTCTTCGAGATGATGATGATGAGTGTCTTCACTTAACTCGAGCTGCAGTGATGCTGATGATGATGCTGCTGCTGATGATGATTATACTGATGATGCCGATGGCGATGATGATGATGATAATGATGATGATGATGATGATGATGATGATGATGATGATGCTGATGGTATTAGTCGTAGTAGTAGTAGTAGTAGTAGTAGTAGTAGTAGTAGTAGTAGTAGTAGTAATGATAGTAGTAGTATTAGTAGTAGTAGTAGTAGTAGTAGTAGTCGTCGTAGTCGTAGTCGTAGTCGTAGTAGTAGTAGTCGTAGGTAGGACGAGTAGCATCAGCAGTAGTAGTAGTAGTAGTAGTAGTAGTAGTAGTAGTAGCAGTAGCAGTAGCAGTACTAGTAGTAGGTGTAGTAGTAGTAGTAGTAGTAGTAGTAGTAGTAGTAGTAGTAGTTGTGGTAGTAGTAGTGGTGGTAGTAGTAGTAGTAGTAGTAGTTGTAGTGACGATGCTGTGAATGATGATGATGATGCTGATGATGATGCTGCTTCTTGATGATGATTAGCTGATGATGATGGTGATGACGATGATGATTCTGATGCTGATGATGCTGATGCTGATGCTGATGCTGATGATGATGACGATGGTGATGATGATGATGATGATGATGATGATGATGATGGTGATGATGATGATGATGATGATGATGATGATGATGATGAGGATGATGATATGGGGTCGTGTTTGTTCATGCGCAGGGTGTCCAGAGGAAGCAAGAACCCCATTTAGGATACGGGGAACAAGAACTCCATTTAGCATGTGGGGAACAACTTGTGTGCCGAGGAGGCGATCAAATTGCACCACCCTGGAAGGGGAACAATTGTCGAGGGGGAAAGCGTTACAGGAGATCGTCTCCCGCGTCGCTGGGATGGACATCGTTATGAACAAAGAGTTTCCAATTCCAGGCGACCTCATCCGGCAGTTTCCGCCTTCAGTCAAATTGATAGCAGAGGCTGGGACTGGGTACAACAACATCGATATTGAAGCGTGCCGCGAGAAGGGCATCAAGCTGTGCAATGTCCCGGAGTACACGACAGTGGCGATGGGCCACATGGCGATCACCTTGGTTATGGCTCTCTCCTGCTCCTTGGCTCCACAGATGAAGGCGCTCGCAAAAGGCGACAGGACCTACATGCACCAGTGCCATCTGGGGATGCTGGACCACTTCGAGATCACTGGCAAAACGTTCGGCATCATCGGTGGACTTGGCTACATCGCGAGCCAGATCTCGAAGATGGCGCTCGATCTTGGCATGAAGGTCGTAGTATCCGACTTGCCTTCGACGCCGCTAGGCATGCGTGACAATGGCGTCGAGGTGGTAAGCTTCGACGACCTGCTCCGCAACTCAGACTTTATCAGCACGATGACGCCCCTGAACAAGCACACGACAGGTCTCGTCAACGCGGCAGCCTTTGACAAGATGAAGCCGACGGCCTACATCATCAATACAGCCAGGGGGCCGATCATCGACCAGGACGCCCTCGTGGACGCCTTGCGCAAGAAGAAGATTGCGGGCGCGGCCCTCGATGTCTTCGGTGAGGGCTCCGCACCGCCACCACCGCTCCCTGACGACAGCCCGCTCTACGATGTGTTCAACGAATTCGACAACGTGATTCTGACACCGCACATTGGCTGGCAGCGCTTGGAGGCCAGGCAGCGGCTGGTGGACATGGTCGCCGACAACATGGCCGCCTTCGCTCGAGGTGAGGTTCTCAATGTCGACATGGACAGTGGCCTGCCCAACCGGTCCGGCTTTCAGCCTAAGGCGTGATTTTCCGTGTGCAGATTGTGTTCTGTCTTCCGGAGGCTCGGCCCCTGGCTCACTTCGTTCCATTCGCACGCATGCTTAAATTCTTCAGCTTTGGACCAACACGCCAAAGCCGATTGCCATGGTTATTCCAGGCGTTCAATACATTCTGGTATTTGCAATGCTGGAGATTCTCTGGTCACTGCAAAGCATTGCAGGATTTTAAACTAAGAGATTTTGCCAGGAAGACCGGTCCGTTTGGTTATTGACCGCCGTCAGCTTTATGCTTCTAGGATATGGAGGAGATGGCCTCAAAGAGTTCGGAGAAAGATGCATCGGGTTTCCCCACCTCTGCCTCCTCCCTTTCCTCCTCCACCCTGCGCCTTGTCACCATCACGAATTCCCCACGGGACGCTTCCCAGCTGCAATCTTATGCAGATGTGTTGCACTGTTTTGCTTGCCGTGTGCGCACTTTTCCAGGGCGTAAGTAGAACTTGCTCAAGAAAGGCCCACTGTCGAACAATATCTTGTTCAATAGTGCCTTCGAACAGCGAAGCGGGTCGCAAATGCCGTATTTCCCTACCTAGGCTCTGCCTAGAAGGGTTCTTAGTCTTTGGGCTTAAAGGGGCCGGGCAGTGGAAAGCGCCCCGGGCGGTTCCCCCAGTATCCGCTCCGCGGTTCCCCCAGTTACGTCCCCTTAGCTTAGCGTTGCTGATCTCATCTTAGCTGAGCTTATTTCAGTTTAGCTTAGCTTAGCTTCACCTTAGCTCAGGTTTATCTTAGCTTAGGTTACCTTCATCTTAGCTTCGCTGAGCCTTAGCATAACATAGCACAGCACAGCATAGCATAGCGTATCATAGCATAGCGCAGCACAGCATGTCATAGCATAGCCCAGCATAGCATAGCATAGCATAGCATAGCATAGCGCAGCATAGCATAGCATAGCATAGCATAGCATAGCGCAGCACAGCACAGCACAGCATAGCATAGCGCAGCATAGCATAGCACATCATAACATAGCATTGCATATCATAACATAACGCAACATAACATATCATAACATAGCATAGCTTAGCACAGCACAGCGCAGCATGACATATCATAGCTCAACATATCAGAGCATAGCATAGTATAGCGCAGCATAGCATAGCATATCATAGCATAGCATAGCGCAGCATAGCATGGCATATCATAGCATAGCATAGCATATCAACTAATGCTGCTTTCCTGGGGGCTCCAACTTCTAGGTAGGGTCGCACTGGGGTAATGATGAATATGCTGTTGTCCAACAGGTCCCCGCTGATCAGATCAGAGGTGCTGCCGCTTTGGACAGGTCAAGAGTTGTGGATGTTCCAACTTGCCGTAAGATGTGTGCGCGCGCGTGTGTTGTGTTCTGCCATGTGCGCGCGCGCCCGCGTGTGTGTGTGTGTGTGTGTGTGTGTGTGTGTGTGTGCGTGTGCGTGTGCGTGTGCGTGTGCGTGTGCGTGCGTGCGTGCGTGTGTACGTGCGTGCGTGCGTGCGTGCGTGCGTGCGTGCGTGCGTGCCTGCGTGCGTGCGTGCGTGCGTGCGTGCGTGCTTGTGTGTCTGTCGGGTCTTCCTGGTCCTCGAGGATGCTGGGGTCGCCTCTGCTTCCGATGGCCCCAGACCGCACATTCCCGAGGGCTCGCCGGCATCCTCCTCAGGCGCCGCCAGCAGTGACGGGGCCGCCGCCTCCTTTGCGGCCCCGCCCAGCCAGGACGGCGCCAACCCTAGACAGCGCTGCGTTAAGACCCCGCCCCGGCGGGAGGGCGCCAGCTCTGGCGGGGCGCGCCGCCCAGCCCTGCTGGCTTTCGCGGCTCCTTTGGCCTGCGACCTTTTTCAGCTCTGCTGCCTTCAGCTCGCCCTCCACCGTCGCTCCTCGACGTACGTCTTTGTCGTCTGCTCTCGGCCGCTCGTTCTCCCAGCCTTTCAGTCCCGGTTGGCTTACGTCACTTTCCACCTTCACCGTTGTTTCGTCCGCTCATTGCCCCTCCGCGCCATCCAGGCTCAGATGGTTATGGCTGCCGCCAGCTGCGAGACCATAAGTGGTCTCCGAAAGCCCAGCCAGGCGCAGACGCGCCCGCCCCGTCGCTTGCACGCGAGGTTCTACGCCCCGTCGCCGCGCGGGGCCGCGGCGCCAAAATGTGTGTGTGTGTGTGTGTCTGACTGCGTAGGTTTCTTCGGAGCAGCCACAGCAGTCCCACCTTGCGATCGGCGGTTTCTCCCAGGTGGGGCCGGTCAAGTATGGCGTTCGATGAAGGGCCTCGGCTTCGAGGGGTCGCGGCGTTGGAAAGAGTGCTTTCTGTGGATGCTGAGAAGGGCGGGTGGTCTAACCGTGGGGGGGGGCCCCCTTAGATGCAAGGGAGATGGGGGCTCGTGTGCAAAAATGCCCGACGATAGCGTGGCTTTTTAGCGCTAACGCACCAGCACCTTCCTCTATCTTTCCTTTTCTATTTTTTCTCTTTCTCTCTCTCCTATTTGTTTCGTCCTCTCTCTCTCTCTCTTTCTGCTAGTGTTGCGCACGCGAGATCGCATGCTTGAGCTTAAAACATGGGACGCCAATTTGCGTTAGTAAGCTGTGCGCGTCCTGCTGGCATGTATTGTTGATTAATGACAGATTCCACGGGGCATGTCCGACGTTTTCGCTCGCGGGGATTTGCGGCTGTTTGGCGCGTAAGTTATGGGACATGGTATTGATGGTGGATGGGCCGGCACGCTCGTTTTGTAGGGGGGCACGATTTGTTCGCCCCGCGTGCGCAACAAAGTCGAACCCGCGAGTGTTACTTAAGACCGGGGTTTCGCATTGCAGGAAAACGCTCCGAATGGCATTCATGGTACCTCAGTGGTACGCGTTAATGCTCGAACGTGCTGGTATCGATCAGCCAGATCGGGTAAACAGTTTTAACGCCGTTTTGCGTTAAACCTCACACATTTTTGTACCCCATTTCCGGGCCACGGAAGGTCTGGGACAAAAGCTCGACGGGAGCGAAATTGTCACGAAACCCATCTGCATCATGCAGTTGACAGTAAACGCGCCTCGCGACCCTACGCGGGGGAGGTCAATTAACCAAGCGTTTCGCGACCCTACGCGGGCATGCGGTTAGGCCTCCCTTCGGTACAATTTCGCTGAAGAAGACTATTCTTCGTGCGTCGGTCTGGACTCACGGCCCGGGGGGGGCGGTCAGCCCGCGGCAGTCGCAGCACAGCCTCCACGACTCGTTCGTGGGAGCTGCGTCTCGCCGAGGCTGCTGACTTCCTTCTTCGCCAAGTCTTGTCTATTCCACACCGCACTGCACAACAGTACCAACCATCTGACATCCTCCCGGCCAGTATCGGTGAGGTCACCACGAACTTGCAGTACATAGTCTTATCCCACCAGCTCGAGGAGGATGAACATGACGAATCATAATACGAACGCGCATGAGAGTCAGCCAGCATTGGCCCACGGGCCAGTTGACCTACCACCGGGTGCATCGGACATGGCTGCTGAGGTTCGAATTGGGGAGGCCCCCCCCCCTTTCGAACCACGGGGGGGCCCCCCGTGAGATGCAAGGGGGGGGGTGCGAACTGGGGGGGACCCTCCCCCCCCTTTCTGTCCAAGGGGGGCGGAGTCGAGCCGGGGGGGTGCCCCCCCCCCTTTTGTCCAAGGGGGGAGAGCCGCCCCCTCGACCCCGCCTTGTAACCGACTATCAGTCGGCGGCGGCGCCCGCGCCGTCGGGCAGCGACGACGACGACGAGAAAAATGGTGACGACGACGAAGACGACGACGAGGACGACGGCGACGACGACGACGCTGGCGCCGGCGCCGTCGGGCAGCGACAACGACGGCGACGGCGACGACGACGACGACGCTGGCGCTGGCGCCGTCGTTCAACGACGATGATGATGACGACGACGACGACGGCGACGGCGGTGCAGGCGGCAGCGATGGTGACGGCGACGGCGACGGCGACGGCAACGCCGAACGCGACCGCTACCGCGACGGCGACGACGAAGATGACGTCGACGGCGACGGCGACGACGACGACGCCGACGGCGGCGACGACGACGGCGATTGCGAGGCGACGGCGACGGCGACGGCGTCGGAGATGGCGGCTGCGACGGCGAGGGCAGCGACGGCGACGCCGACGACGACGACGACGACAACATGGCGCCCTCCTTTGAGCTGCAGGGGGGGTTCGAAGCGGGGAGGGGGCCCCCTCCTCTGCAACCGAAGACGTCGAACGCCGGCCCCCACGCCAACGCCGCAAGGCAGCGACGACGACGGCGACGTCGACGACGAAGTGGACGGCGACGGCGACGACGACGAAGACGGTGGCTCATGGCGGCGAGGGCGACGACGACGGCGACAGCAACGGCGACGGCGAAATCGACGACTACGGCGGCGACGGCGACTGCGACCGACGACGACGACGACGAGAAGGACGACGGCGACGGCGGAGACGACGACGACGACGACGATGGCGACTGGCGACAACGTCGACGACGACGACAAAGAAAATGACGACCATGACCGCGACGACGACGACGACGGCGACGGCGACGGAGACGGCGACGACGACGGCCACGGCGAGGGCGTCGACGGCGACGGCGACGACGACGCGCACAAGGGGGTGTCGCACTGTGAGGGGCCCTCGCCCAGTGCAACCGACGACGGCGAGCGCCGGCGCTGGCGCCCGCACCGTCGGGCAGCGACGACGACGACGACGATGGCGACGAGGACGACGACGACAACGACGATGACGACGGCGACGGCGAGGGCGACGACGACGGCGACAACGATGACGGCGACGACGACGACGTAACGGTGGCGATGATGACGGCGACTGCGACAGCGACGGCGACGGCGACGGCCACCGCGGCGGCCATGGCGACGGCGACGGCGGCGACGGCGACGGCGATGGCGACGGCGACGGCCACCGCGACGGCGACGGCGACGGCGACGGCCACGGCGACGGTGAGGGCGACGGCGACGACGACGGCGACGGCGACGGCGACGACGACGACGGCGACGCCGATGGCGGCGACGACGACGGCGATGGCGAGGCGACGGCGACGGCGACGGCGTCGGAGATGGCGACGGCGACGACGAAAGCGACTGCTACGGCGGCGACGGCGAGTGCTGCGACCGACGACGACGACGTCGAGGACGACGACGACGACGACGTTAACGGCGACGGTGGCGGTTACGGCGACGGCGTTGGCGTCGGAGACGGCGACGGCGACGGCGGCGATGGTCACGGCGACGACGACCGGCGACGACGTTGGCGCGCAAAGGGGGGTGAGGAGGGCCCCGTTCGAACCACCCTTTGCAACTCGGGGGGGGGGCCTTCTTCCCTGGTTCGAACCCCTCCCCCTTGCCCCCTGGGGGGGGAACTCCAACCAAAGAGGCGACCAATCCCGGCCAACGAGATTAGATCCCGGCCCATTGGGTCCAATCTCGACCAATTAGGTCCAAAGCACGCAATAGCTCTTAAGAGGTCTCGAGAGCGCTCTTAAGAGGTCTCAAGTGCATTCTGAAGAGTTTCTGAAGAGCTTATGCAGAGCTCATGATGAGCTCCAGAAGAGCCTCTGAAAAGTTTCTGACGGCCTACTGATACTACTACTACTAGTGCTACTACTACTGCTGCTATTATATTGTGCTAGTATTACCACTACTACTAGTACCATTAAAACTATTGCTGATAGTAGTAGGCGTAGTAGTAGTAGTAGTAGTAGTAGTAGTAGTAGTAGTAGTAGTAGTAGTAGTAGTAGTAGTAGTAGTAGTAGTAGTAGTAGTAGTAGTAGTAGTAGTAGTAGTAGTAGTAGTAGTAGTAGTAGTAGTAGTAGTAGTAGTAGTAGTAGTCAGTAGTAGTAGTAGTAGTAGTAGTAGTAGTAGTAGTAGTAGGAGTAGTAGTACTACCAATCTCGTTACAATTACTACTTCGACTAGAAGTATTGCGACTACTTGTATTGTTTTAATTACTATTGTCACTGCGACAACAACAACTACTACTATTACCACTTCTATGTTTGAAGCTACTAGTATCACTCCGACCTACTACTTTTATTCATGCTTCCCATTCTCATTATTGTTTTATTATTTTGATGGTGATTATTTCCAACAGTACTGATTTTTGTTGTTATTATATCATCGTTGCTAGGTCCGCTATTGCTACAACTACTAATAATATTATTTTCGCTGCTATCGGTACTACTACTACTACTACTACCACCACTATTACACCGACTAAGACTACCACCGCTCGTTGTAACAACAAATTCTCGATGTCTTTTTCCCCACATCCAAAGGGGGGTTCTTGTTTTTTCTGGACACCACGCGCAGGAACAGGAACCCACCTTCATCATCATCACTAATTCTTCACTCACTCACTCATCATCCCCCGCACACTCACTCACTCACACACTCACTCACTCACTCACTGACTCATCAGCACTCACAGATGATGATGATGATGATGATGATGATGATGATGATGATGAGTGTGCGCGTGAGAGAGTGTGATGATGATCATCATCATCACCAGTCAGTCAGTCAGTCACTCACTCACTCACTCGCCTTGGGCTTCGTCTGTGAGTGAATTATGAAGAAGTCTCAGGCGGGAGCTCCCTCCCTATGGGGCCCGCGGATTATGTTACTAATCCGAGCGGGTCATCGGGATCCTGTAACCGTCGTCACTTTTGGGCTCCTAAGGCCTGAATCTGGAGGAAGTCTCAGGCGGGGGCCTCGCCTGTGAGTAAATTGCTAGGAAGTCTCAGGCGGGAGCCCCTCCCTATGGGG